AAAGAGCAAAGAACTTTCTGTCAAGTATCAGGATGGTCTCATTTCTCAGCCTGCCAATGTAGACTACTTCCAGCTAACAGGAGTTTGAGATCTTGCATCAGAATCCAGATTCTCTCTTCCACACAAATAAAGCTGTACTGCAACTTTTCACATGAAATGCAAAGCCACCTTAACTTCCACCTAAAGATAGACTTAAAAAATAAAACATTTTTCTACTTAGTTATTGAACTTGATTCTTACAGCCCAACCCTTATACACTACCCAGTTTGAGACTAAACCTGGAAATGTGCTCCCCTCTCAACTACAAGCTATGAACCTTAATATATGTACCTGAACATTCTTTATTGTATGGTTCAGCATGTCAATGAAGTTGTGAATTTCATCATTTTTGCTCACTAGAGTACTGACAATCCTTTGCAGAGTCTCCTAGAATGAAAAAAAAAAAAAGTGAGAGAAGTTGTAAAATCATCTGGTCATTTTTTTAACCATCGCCGTTTCAACATACATGAAAATTTATCCTACACATTCCAGTCATGGTAAATCCAACTCATATTCTGATGGGATCAGAAATGCATTTCGTTAGAACAGAGAAAGAATACCAAAGGTCTAAGGATCATTCCACCAAACTAAAGACCTCCAGGTGTTGCTTTGGGAGAAATCAAGAACCTGTTTTATGATACTCCACTGTTTCACATGCTTTTCTAAGCAAGTCACCTATACCAGAACACCTACAGGCATCACACTCTGCCACACACAACTCCTCCAGATGCAAAGCCTAGTGCCAGTGCAACCAGAGAACCAATAAAGAAAAGAACTTTTTAGAAGAGCTGGTAAAAGGTAACACAGAAGGAAAATTAGCATTTCCTAACGTCAAATAACCAAGCTGACAGTTTATTCTATATACAGAATAAATCTCTAACAGTGATTTGTAAACTCATTCTGGAAGTGGCAGAATATTTTGGGTGAACAATTTCTATACCACAATTAAGAGTGACCTCTCTGAAAAGAGGAAAGCTTGCTGAGAGCTGAGAAAAGAACCTGTTACTTTAGTGGTGTACTACTCCAGCTGTTCAAAAAGCACTAGATGCAGCTTACAAAACACACACGAAGCAGGCAAAACTGTTAAGTACATTAAAACATATTTTATGTTAAATAAGAACACCAGGTCTAATTTGTTGAGTAGCCCGTCACATACTCTAAGAATCTGGCAAAAACACATCAATGCTTGGTACTTAGAGTTAAGTCAAGTTGTATAATTAAAGCCCAAAGCATATCACCACGTGTAAGTAAAAATAAGAGACAAGCTGAGGCAGTAACTAAAAATTTTCTGTAATTTAATTCAGGCTGGTTGGTAAGTTTTAGAAGCAAATCTGAATCTAAAATGCTAGATTTGTCTCTTTTGTAAAAAGAAAACCCTGCCTTAATTGTCATTAACATATTACTGATCAGTCGGACCCAGGGTTGCAATTGCTCAGCTGAACTGACCACGCTTGGGAAATCAAGGCAAGGAGAGACAATAAGCACACCTTAAAAACAGCCAGACACCAAACAGATGCTGCAGAAGTCTCTCCCACAGGCAATTCCTTAATAACTAGGTACTACCTACATCACATTTGTCTGCTAGAAAGCAAGAAAAATATTTTATCCTTTCACAACATCCACAGTGAACCTCAATACTACAACCTGCATGAGGAATTTCTCCCCTAGTGCTAAGACATGTTCCTTCCTCTCCTAAGTCCTCCCTTGCCAGTGCCCAACAAACCTTCAGTGAGGTATTTACTGGTACTCCAGCCCACTGCCTCTTTGCTACTGCCAAGCTCACAAAGTTCAGCCACCAGCAGAGGAAACTGGCATTTTAGTGCTTTCACGCAAGTGTTGATGGTGTTACGCACAGAGGTAACAGACCAGGTAGCAATGACTGAAGTCAGGACTCTGTGGAACACAAACTAGACCTTGGGCTTCTCTCAGGAAAAAAAAAAAAGTACAGCAAACCTTGATCACTTCATCACTGAAACGTTTTGTTTCCTGGTGAAAACTGAGCACATTTAAAGACAATTTTGTACACATGAGGATGGCAGATGAATCACCATTGTCCAACCAGCTGCTTCTGCATTCACTACTGACCAGAGGCAATTGTTTCCACATGCCAGAGAGCCTGCAGATAAGCCTTAGATCCTATGAGCATAACTGTCAATTTGGATGAACACGGAAACTCACAATCCTCTTTCAGCTAGGATCTTAGAGCTTACTCAGTAGCACCACATGGGGAAAAAAAGTCTTCTTGTATACAGTGCTGAACAATGTTATTGTGTTTTATAGCTACAGTACAATTAAAGGAAAAGAGCTACGTGTGAGGAATGCTGAAAAAAGCCTTCACACAGCCAAGCACATGGCAGCAACTGGCAAACAGCTGCTAAACAAGGTTTTCCACTACATCTGAAGTTAAAGTCAACTGACCAAATGGGGACTGGTATGGCTCTTTTTAAGTAAGAAATTTAACCATGATGGGTCAAATTTGAACTAGTTTAAAAGCCTTCTACAAACACAGCTGCATTAGGTCTAAAAATATCCACAGGCAGCAGGCAGAATCTTTATGAAACATCAATGCACAAGCCAGCAGGACAGAGTCAGCTTTCAGGAATCATCAGCTTACAGTATGTTCTAATCACTAATATGCAGTGATTTGGTTTCCTTACAAACGTACCAAGACATAAGGCAAATTAAAAACACACTGCACTGTTGCCATTCCTTCCTTTACTGGGAATTTCTGAAGAGTCACTACAATGTCATGTAACAGACAGGGAGCTGGAAAAATTACCCAGGTAAGCAGCAGTGGCCTATATTCTAAGTTAATTCATAAAAGAATTGCAACAGCACCAAGCTCAGTAAAGCTTCTTGGTATTTCTACCCTGAAGGGAATTTAACTGTATTTCCCACTGATGGATGTAATATTTCACATAACTCCATCACAGCAATTTTCTTTTAGCTTTTTCTTTGACCTCTTAAGTGAGGTCAGTTTCAAATGAATTTTCAAAACATTTTGGCATGTTTATCAAGGAAGTCATTTTTGCAGCTGTCAGTGAGTTTCATACTGCTCTTCCCTTTTGTGTCCCAATCTCACTCTGAATCTACACCTAGCAGAAAAAAAACCTCAAAACTGCATGGCGTTGGTGAAACAACAGGGTAGATCTGCAAAGGATGAAGAATAAAACAAGATGTGAAAAAGGATAGGAAGGTCTACAATATGTGGTGGTTTGTAGTCTTATCAGGTGGATAAAAGCAATATATCCTTTTGGAACAGCAAGTTACTAATATGACACAGCAGCTGTCGAAGGAGACAGGCACCTCACAGGAGAGTAAACTCCGATAAATTAAACAATTACAGTAGTTCTGTCTAAGAAGCAAGTTATCAACTTGCTCAAGATCATACTGAAGGCTTATGACCTGGCAGTCTTGGGCCTATGACAAAATCCTGAGACACTCTAACCTTCACGTCCAGATCAAATTTCAAAAAGGACTTGCTTACTTAGCCTCCATTAATTTAATCTTCTGCACTTGTCAACGCGTCGAAGTTGCCAGAGTTTGAAAGAGTACAGTACAGGTGACCACAGCAAACTTAACTACTGTTAGATAAAATATTGTAAAGCACAAAAAAAAAAAAAAAAAGGTAATGTAAAGCATCAAAGTATTGTAAAGCACAAAATCCACTGCAATTTCACTACTGTATTCAGAACCTCTGAGCCGCACTGAAATTCAAATATGATCAATGACCCCACTCAGAATCATCCACCTAGAGCACCCACAACAGCTGCAGCCCTCATTTGCTCCTCCTCCAGAGAGACTAATCTCACATAAAGCAGGCAAAGGCAGGCAGGCTCAAATTCACACAGTTTCTACCAGAAGCACACTTTTTTGGCGTTTCACATCTTTCAAACGCACGTGCTCAGTGATATTAGTTGTTTAGCAGGAATAACTTTTAAGTAGAATTGAGTTACATAGAGTTACAATACTGTGTGATTTAACACCTTGCTTAGCTTTACCCGCTTAGCAAGAGTACCTGGATTTACTGAAGCCACAAGCTGTGAACTCACACCTAGATCTGTTGCCAGTTGAAACAGTTAACTTCTCTAGTGATTTCCCTAGCAGCTGGTGTAGTGCTGGGTTTTGGCTTTAGCATGAGAAGAATACTGACAATACACTGATGTTTATTTATCCCAAGTCTAGGGCTTTTTGAGTTTTCCATGCTCTGCCAGCAAGCAGGTGCACCAGAGGCACAAACCAGAGACTACAGACATCAGAAGCTGCAACTCAACAAGGTAAGAGCAGTGAACAACCTGCCTGCACAGAAACAGAGGAGAATCCCAAAGGGGTATTAAAGACCCCAGACCAAAAATCACCAGAGGACCAAGAAGCATGTGAAGAAGATGTGAGGGACAGGTGTGTAAGTGGGCAGGGTATAACTGTCTGGATTCTAACATCCTTTGTTCTGGGTCCCTCTCTGGAAGCAGCTCGTGCTGACCTGCTGCTGTACCACTCTATTAAATTATTCATTTTCATAAATCCGACCCCTGAAACTCTGCTATGGGAGACCTGGGGTTCAGCCTGAAGGAGGAGGAAGCTGCCACTCCCCAAATGGTGTGAGAACACTCAGGCAGCATCTTCACCTCTAACACACGCAAGCACCACGTGGCACCACACAAACACTTCACCGAACCACCAAACATCGGCACAATTTCAAGCCAAGTTACTCAGACCCCACGCACAAACCAGTGCCCAAGCTGAGGAAAGCACAGGGACAGCAACACAAGCCCTTTCCCACTGCTCCACTGAAAGCCAAAAGGCTGAGTCACAACTTTTTTCGCAGGGAGTATCATTTTCAGACAGCCCCAACCCCCGGCCAGGCACATCTCAG